CCCCCCGAGGGCACCGGCGGCACCCGCAGCCCCCCAACCCCCTCCAGGACGGCCCCGGCCCCGCTCAGCACGCAGCGGCCGCTAATCTTCATTAAGCCCCTCATTAGGCGGCTCGGTGGGCACCGTGACGGAGCCGATGTGGCAGCTGGGGGGGCTCAGCGCGGCCGGGGGGGATGGTGGGGTGAGAAAAGGGGGCTGGCCCAGGGTTCCCTGGGAAGTGGGGTTCTCAGGGGTGAAGGGTCCCCAAGGACAGTGGGGTTCCCGGGGGGGGAAGGGTCCCGAAGGGTGAAGGGGTCCCCGGGGATGAAGGGGTTCCCGGGGATGAAGGGGTTCCCGGGGATGAAAAGGTTCCCGGGGGTGCAGGGGTCCTAAAGGACAGTGGGGTCCCCCGAGGGGTGAAATGTTCCCAGAGCAATGGGGTCTTTGGGGGTGAAGGGTCCCAGAGGGGTGAAAGGTTCCCAGGGGTGAAGGGTCCCCCAAGGGTGAAGGGTTCCCAGGGTGAAGGGTCCCCAGGGCAATGGGGTTTTTGGGGTCTTTGTTTTTCTGTCTTGGCCCCGTGAACAATGTCCTGTCCTTGTCCCCATGAGCAGCAGCCTCCCCTTGTCCCCCTCAGCATTCCCTGCATGGATGGTGTCACCTGGAAGGTCCCTGTGCCCCTGTCACCATCCCAAACGTCCCTGAGTGCCCAAAGGGTTGGTGCCAACCCTTCAGAGCGGGAGGTCCCTGCTCAGCACCCACAAACGGGGTTGGGGGGTCACCAGCTGCAAGGGGGAGTGACTGGAGCCAGGATTCACCCAGATCCCAATCCCTGGGGGATCCAGCCCCTCCCCAGCACTGGGAACAGCAGCTGAGGAGCCCCCAGCCCTCTAACCCCACTAATGAGGGGGTCCCAGCCTTCACTAAGACCCCACAGAGCAGCTTCCCTAGCTGCCAGCCCCAATCCCAGACCCAGCCCAAATCCCAATCCCAGCCCCAATCCCAGCCCCAACCCCAGCCCCAATCCCAATCCCAGTCGATTTTAGGGAGCAGCTTTGGGGTGCTCAGCTCCCCCAGCCTTCACTCTCTGGGGTGGTTTTGGGGTTTTTTGGGGAGGGGACTCCGCTGTGGGTGCAGGGGGGGGCTCAGCACTGCTCCCCTCATTGGGGTACGGTGAGGAACCCTCCCCCAGTGAGGGGAGATGGCTCCGATTTCCCCGGGCAGGGAAAACCCCGCTGGGAGTGGGGGATTCACACCGGGGTTACAAAACAGCGGGATTGCGGGGGGGTGGGGGGCGGGTGTGTGCCTGCTCTGCACCCCACAAACTCACCCAAACCCCCCTGATCCCCCCCGGGAGCGGCCCCCCGGCCCATCCCACACCCTCGCACCTTCCCCCGCCGCGTCCTCCCTCTCCCCTCGGGATGCGCGGGGGCAGCGGCGGCAGCAGCGGCTCTGGGGGCGCGCAGGAGGAGGAGCCGCTGCCGCCCACCCGCCCCGCCCGGGGGGAACAGCCCGAGCCGAGCCCCTGCGGTGGGACAGGGGCTGCGAGAGGGGCTGCGACCCCGCGGATGGGGCCCCGAATCCCAGATTTTACAGGGAAGGATGCAGGATGCTGGGGTGGGGATGTGACCCCATGGATGTGGTCCCTAATCCCAGATTTTACGGGGAAGGATTTGGGATGCTGGGATGGGGCTGTGACCCCACAGATGTGTCCCTGCACCCCAAATTTCAGAGCCCCGTGACAGATCCCAGCTGCTGCCAGGGGTGGGAGAGCAGCCTTGGAGGTTTCCATGCTGCTCCCACCGGGAAATTCACCCCAGTGAGGTTTTTAGGGATTCCCCCGGGGGCAGCTCGTGGTTGTCACCCACCCCAATGTTCGGTGTCACCTTCTGCTGGCGTGACAGCCCCAGGAGCTGCAGCCAAGATGGGCCTCTCCTAATTAGCAGGGATGCTCGTTAGTGAAGGGACGTGGGGCAGGAGCCTGGCCTGCAGGTGTGACACTGGCCTGGACACCAGGGCTGTGAGCCCAGTCCCTCAAACCCTGCTTTGGGGTCAAGGTTTGGGGTCCAATCCCATCCCACTCCACAGGCAGGGACACCTTCCACCAGCCCAGCCTGCTCCAACCCAGCCCTTGGAATCCAGGGATTCTCTGGGAATTCCATCCCAGCCCTTCCCAGCCAAGAATTCCTTCATAACCCCATAAAATTCCTGGGTTTGGGGTCCAATCCCATCCCGCCCCATGGGCAGGGACACTTTCCACCAGCCCAGGCTGCTCCAGCTTGGCCCTTGGAATCCAGGGGCAGCCAGGGATTCTCTGGGAATTCCATCCCATCCAAAAATTCCTTCCCAAATTCAGCATCACTCCATCCAAAACCCCAAGCCCACCAAACCCCAAAAACATTGGGAGGGTGATCCCCAGGCAAGGGAATTTTGCTGCTGGATGAAGCAGCGCCCGAGGAAGGTGAGGATGGATCAGGGAGAGGCTCGGGGTCCCTTGTGAATGATTTTATTTCCACTGCTGCAGAGAGTGGGAGTGAAAACCCCATAAAGTCGCCGGGTCGGGAGGAACACGTGGCTTTAGGAATATCTGTACATTCTACCAGTCTATATACACATCAGATATAAATATATATAAATCCAGGGGGCTCCGTCCGGGTTTAGGGCTGAAACCTGTCCCACCCAACTGCAGGGAGAGCTGCAAAGCAGATTTTAGCGTCAGGGAAAAGCCTCCTTAATGAGCAGGAGGTTTTAATTAATGGGAAAAGGGGAGCATCCCTGTGCCAGCTGCAGGGAGAAGGACACGGTGCCCGTCCGTGGCCGTCCTGGGAAGGGTCAGTTCTGCTGGCTGGACACAAAGGAGCTTTCTTTGGTTTATTTAATGCTCATTGCAGTTGGATTTTGATTTTTTTTTTTTTCTCCTCTCTAATGCTCGGCCTTTAAATCCAAATCCTGAGACTCAGGAAGAAAAGAAGAGAATAATCCCCCCTAAACCCGGACACCCTATAAATGCAGGTACAGCTATGGGAGGGGGAAGCGATACATGTGGGGATGGGGAAGAGCAGGGATAAAAATAGCCCTTCCAAAGGATGATTCTTCCCTTTTCTTCTCCCTTCCTTTTATTTCTAATAAAAAAAAGGCAAAACCCAGCCATGTGTGATTGGCTGCAGAGAGAAACTGAGCCGTGGACGTGGCCCTGAATCCTCAGATCTCAGAGGGAAGGGTGCAGGATTTTGGGATGGGGCCCTGGCCCCACAGATGTGTCCCTGCATCCTCAGATTTTACAGGGAAGGATGCAGGATTTTGGGATGGGGCTGTGGCCCCATGGATGTGGCCTTTGATCCCAGATTTTAGAGGGAAAGGTGTAGGATTTTGGGATGGGGCTGTGGCCCTTGATCCCAGATTTTACAGGGAAGGATTCAGAATGCTGGCATGGGGCTGTGACCCCATGGGCATGGCCCTGCATTCCAGATTTTACAGGAAATGATGCAGGATTTTGGGATGGGGCTGTGGCCCCATGGATGTGGCCTTTGATCCCAGATTTTACAGGGAAGGATTCAGGATTTTGGGTGGGGCTGTGGCCCCACGGGTCGGTGCTGGGATGGGGAATTTGAAGCCGGGCGGGGTCTGCTCCTGCCCAGGGGTGTGGGAAGGTGTGGCCTCCCAGGGGCAGGACACCCTCCCTGCTCCATCCCCGCGGATCCGCAGCTCCAGGAGGGATTTAGATCCTCCTCCTCCAGAGAAACCTGGAGCCAAAGGTGACAGGAGTGTCCCCACCCCTTGGGATGGCCTGATTGTCCCTCCTCCCTCCACTTCCACTGATCCCACCACTCTCACCTCCAGCCCAGCCCATTCCAGCTCCAAAACCCCCCGGGAATGGTTCCCCAGGAGCAGAGACACGCCCGAGCCCAGCGGCTCCATCCGGACCGGCCCCAACCCCCCCGAACCCCGCGAGGCCCCAAGGGAGAGACGGAGCCGGCTCCGGGCTGGGCCTGGGGGACAAGGACAGGGCGTTGTGACCGGCGGTGGCAGCTGGGACACGGCGCTGTCCTGCAGAGAGCGCTCCCCAAGGAGCCACGGGGGTCCCTGCAGGGCAGGAAAAGGGGGGAACGAACGGGGAGAGGGATGGAGGCGGGGGGCGAGCAGGGGAGAGAGGGAGGAGAGAGGGTCCCACGTGTCAAACCCGCCGGGGGTGAAACGTCCGAGCAAAGCCGGGCCTGGGAGAGGCGGGGAAGGGCTAAAACACCACGGACTGCAGCAGGCGGAAACACAGCATCAGGTCCAGAGGGATGGGCGGCTTCAGGAGGTTCCCGTCCAGCCGCAGGTAGCGGAGCCGCGGGACGCTGTCCAGGTCGGAGGGAGAGAAATCCTGGATGGACACCAGCGAGGTGGGGCAGATCTGCGTGCCGTTGATCTCTGCGGGGACAGGAGACACAGCGGGGCGCGGGTTAGGGAGAGGTGGGCTGGGAATGGGGGCAGGAGGAAGAGCGGGATGCGGGTTAGGGAAAAGGGAATGTGGGCAGGAGGAAGAGCGGGATGCGGGTTAGGGAAAGGGGAATGTGGGCAGGAGGAAAAGTGGGATGTGGGTTAGGGAAAAGGCAATGTGGGCAGGAGGAAGAACGGGATGTGGGTTAGGGAAAAGGGAATGTGGGCAGGAGGAAGAACGGGATGTGGGTTAGGGAAAGGGCAATGTGGGCAGGAGGAAGAGCGGGATTCAGGTCGGGGAAAGGGGAATGAGGGCAGGAGGAAGAGCGGGATTTCAGTTAGGGAAAGGGGAATGTGGGCAGGAGGAAGAGCGGGATGCGGGTTAGGGAAAAGGGAATGTGGAAAGCAGGAGCAGTGGGATAGGGAAAAGGGAATGTGGAGAAGAGGAATGGGAATGTGGAAAGGAGGAACAGGAATGTGGAGAGAAGGAACAGAGGGATGCGGGTTAGGGGAAAAGGAATGTGGGCAGGAGGAAGAACAGGATGAGGGTTAGGGAAAGGGGAATGTGGGCAGGAGGAAGAGCAGGATGCAGGTGAGGGAGTGAGGACAGGGGGAACATTGGGATGAGGATTAGGGAAAAAGGGAATGTGGACAGGAGGAGCAGTGAAATGTGGGTTAGGGAAAAGGGAATGTGGAAAGTAGGAAGAACGGGATGTGGGTTAGGGAAAAGAGAATGTGGGCAGGAGGAACAGCGGGATTCAGGTCAGAGAAAAGGGAATGTGGGCAGGAGGAGCAGTGGGTTAAAGAAAGGGGAATGTGGACAGGAGGAAGAGCAGAATGCAGGTTAGGGAAAGGGGAATGTGGGCAGGAAGAAGAACGGGATGAGGGTTAGGGAAAAGGGAATGTGGTCAGGGATTTTTGAACCCCTCCCTATTACTGAACCCCAAATTAGGGCTGTTTTGCCACCAAAAGGGACAATCCCAGGCTGTTCAAAGCCCCAACAAGAGGAAAAATCTGGCTTTTGATCAGGAGTGAAGTAGGTCACGTTCCTCAGGAGCACAGCGAGGGATGCGGTGACATTCCAGAGAGAAAAGGGATCATCCCTCCCACCCCTGGAACCTGCCGAGCCGGCCCGAGCTTCCCAAAAAAACATCCAGGAATCCCACTCCAGCCCTGTCACACCGGACACTGCCCTCAACATTTCCCTGGCCTCTCCTGCTCCTCAGAAACACCTTTCCAAGGTTTTTTCTCCCCAAAAAACCCCGTGGGACTCACTCTCGATGGAGTTGTTGTTCAGGTAGAGGTGCTCCAGCTTGGAGCTGATGAAGGGCACGTTGGTGAGCTTGTTGTGGGCCAGGTGCAGCACCAGCAGGTTGGTGAGGTTGAAGGAATTTTTGGGCAGCCCCTTATCCGAAATCTGGTTGTAGTTGAGCCGGATGAAAGCCAGGTTGGGGAACTCCTTGAAATAATCGCTGGGGATGTCCTCAATGTTGTTCCTGTCCAGGAAGAGCTGGTGGATGGCGCTGGGCACGCCGGGGGGCATCTTCCTCAGGATGTTGTGGGCCAGGTTGAGCTGCATGAGGTTCTTGAGCCCCTTGAAGGTGTTCTTGTTGAAGACGCCGTCGCTCAGCTTGTTGTGGTGCAGGTCCAGCAGCACCAGGTTCTCCAGCTTGTTGAAGACGCCGGCGGGGATCTTGGAGATCTGATTCCTGCTGAGCCGCAGCTGCTCCAGGTTGGGCGGCAGGAATGCGGGCACCTCCTTCAGCTGGTTCCTCTCCATGTAGAGGAAGATGAGGTTTTCCAGCTTCTCCAGCACCTTCCTGTCCACCTTGCGGATGCGGTTGTTGTCCAGGTTGACCCATTTGAGGCCGGTGGCGTTGCGGAAGGACTCCTCGGGCAGGTCGGCGATGAAGTTGTTCTGCAGGTACAGGTAATGGATGCGCGGCGGGATCACCGGCACCGTGCGCAGGTTGCGGCTGTCGCAGTACAGCGCCGACGGGAAGTCCGGCGGGCAGTAGCATTCCCGTGGGCAGTCGGGGAAGACAGACGGCGGGCCCGGAGGGAGGGGAGGGGGCAGCTCCGTGGGCTCCACGGGCTCCTCGAAGGGCGCGGGCGGCCGGGTGGGTCTGCGGGGGGGTTTGCGCCGCTGGCCGCTCGCCGCCGGCGCCAGCGCGAGCGCCAGCGGGAGGAGGAACGCCAGGGCCGCCTTCATGGTCCGGGTGTTTTCCTGCAGGGACACCAGGACAGGGGTTGGGGAGGGGTTGGTTGGGGAATTGTCACCTCCCCACCGCTGGGACACAGGGGTTTATCCATTCCCTGCCACCTGCGTTCCTCTCCCCTTCCCACTGGGAGTCGTCTTCCAATGCAACCCCTCCCCAGAGCTGGAGTCGCTGAGGTCCCTGTCCCTGGCTCACTGTTGTTCATGGAATTCTTCTCCCTGCCTCACATTATCCATGGAATTCCTCTCATTCACTATTATCCATGGAATTCCTCTCTCATTCACTGCTATCCATGGAATTCCTTCCTCATGCACCACTGTCCATGGAATTCCTCTCCCTGCCTCACCATTATCCATGGGATCTCTCTGTCTCACTGTTATTCATGGGATCCCTCTCATTCACCACTATCCATGGAATTCCTTTCCCTGCCCCACCATTATCCATGGAATTCCTCTCTCATTCACCATTATCCATGGAATTCCTCTCCTTGGCCCATCATTATCCATAAGATTCTTCTCCCTACCCCACCATTATCCATGGGATCCCTCTCATTCACCATTATCCATGGAATTCCTCTCCCTGCCTCACCGTTATCCATGGGGAATGTTGTTGCTGTTTGGTTTTGTTGTTTTTGTTTTTTAATTTGGATTTTAATTTCATTTTTCCACCCCGCAGTGCCTGGGCCTTCCCCAGGAATGCTGTTGTTGTCTGTTTTGGTTGTTTTTTTTTTTTTTTTTTTAATTTGGGTTTTAATTTCATTTTTCCACCCCGCAGTGCCTGGGCCTTCCCCAGAGGCCACTTCCATCCTCTCTTCCCGAAGGATGGATCAGCCCTTCAGACTCCTGGATGGGTTTGGCTTCCTTTGGCACTTGGGACAGCAAATCAGTGATTCCACAGGAAATTGGCTCTGGAAAAGCGCCGGGAATCCAGCAGAGGTGAACGGGGCAGGAGAGGTGGATGGCTCTGGGTGAGGAGCAGCCCCTCTGCCAGGCCCTGGGATGAAAAGGGCATTCCCAAAGTGGGAACACCACAGGGTTTGGATCCACAGCTCCCTGTGCTGCCCAGGGAACCCATCCAGCCCCGCTGATGATTTGGGAAGAGTCACAGTGGGAGACTGGGAGGGATCAGGTGAGATCCATGTGCCCCAAGCCAGGAAATTTCTCCTGGACATCATCCCTGGCCACCTCTCCCTCTTCCCTGGGTCCTGCTCACCCTGAGCCATCCCTGCTGCTGCCTGGAACAGCAGCTGCTTGCTCATCCTTGCCACATTTCCTGGGAATTCCCAGCTGCTGCCCCAGAGGGTGGAGGAATCCAGCAGAGGATCCCATGCAGGTGGGGTTTGGGTGTTTCCACAGCTGGAGCAGGCTGGGATCAGGGAATGGTCAGGGAATGGACCCCTGGATTCTTGGGAATGGACCCTGGGGGCTCATCAGGCTTCTCCCAGCTGGATTCATCACCCAGCAGGATCAGAGCAAGGCAGAGGGAGGGTGGGAAGGAGCAGGGAGATGGAGGAGAGGGAGGAAAATGAGGGAAACCAGAGGAGGAAGGGAAATGGAAGGGAGAGTGCTGCTGAGATGGGAGAAGCCTTTGGAGGTGCTGGAGCTGCTGGTGCCAATTTTGGGAGGATTTCCGGCACTTCCAGCTCTCCCATCCAGCACAGCAGAGTGGGACTCGCTGCCCATCCTCCCTTTCCAGCCCATTGCCAGCTCTCCTCACACCTGGAACCCCCAATTTCCATCACCCCTGGAGGGGGAAAAGCCCCCACCCAACCTGGGAACTGCAGGGACCCCCTGGGCCACCCTCTTCCAGGGCCACCTCTGCCACCCCAACTCCCTTTGCAGCCATCCCACGCTTTCTGGGGCTCCAAGGAGTTGACTTTCTCCAGGAAAAGATCCCGTTTTGGCCCCTCCTGCAGGCCCAGCCTGTTCCTCCCGGCTCCCATCTGGCTCTGGTTAACCCCGCACGCCTCCCGGGCCGGCTGCTTTCCATCAGGGCTCTGGCATCTCGCAGGGGGAAGGGAGGAGCAGGGAAGGAGCCAGCAGAGCCCAGAGCTGCCGGATCCTGAGCCCGGCAGAGCTGCAGCAGGTCCTGCTTGGGGATGGATTCGATCCTGTCCCCACATTCTGGGTTCAGTGTCTGGAAAATGGGAAAATCCCTGACAGGGCTCTGCTGTTTGTGCAGTGCCCTTCCCATTCCGTCAGCATCCTGCTCCTTCCCCGGCCACAGCGCATGGATCTCACTCCCAAAGCTTTCCATGGCATCCCAGAGCTTTCCATGGGGCTTTTCCCCTGCTCCAGAACCTGGATTTTAATCCCCACAAACTCCCGAGGGAGCAGGAGGGGGTGAGGTCTGAGCTTGGCCGGTGCAGAGGGGAGGGACCAGCTGGGAGGTGACATTGCAGCTGGGAGATGACATTGCAGCTGGGAGGTGACATTGCAGCTGGGAGGTGACATTCCAGCTGGGAGGTGGTCTTCCATCCAGGACACAACATTCCAGCCAGGACACGCTGATCCAGGTGTTGGATCCACTCAGGCCACCCAGCAATGTCCCAGCAGGGGGGGACAGGGCAGTGCTGTCACCCCTCTGAGCCTGCCCCGTCCCCTCCCCACAAGGGTTTGATGTCCCAGAGGTTTGGGGATTCGGCACAGAGAGGGAACAGCCACCCGAGCCAGGAATCCCTGACAACATCCCCTGGAATTCTGTCGGCCCAGAGGGGCAGCGGCGGGAGGCTGACACCGCCCCTTTTATCCACCCCCTGTCCCCGCGGGGACTGTCCCAGCCCCGTGGCACTGCCACCACCCTTCCCCGGTGCCGGTCCCCAGCCTGCCTGGGAAAGCAGGAGCCACTTCCAAGCAAACTGCAGGAAAGCAGTGACATTCCCAAAAAACCAGAGATGTGAGGAGCCCGAAGCCACCACAACATTACAATTGCTGGAGGAGTCCGAGCCAGCTCTCCCAGGATCTGGAAAAGCTGGAAGTCTGTTCTCCATCCAGTTGGATTTACTGGCGTGAATGCCAGGAGCAGAATTCCCAAATGCCACCCCCTGATCCCAGCAGAGCCCCAGCACAGCCCCTGCCCTGCCAGCCTCCCCAATTCCAGCTGCCCACAAGGAATCCGTGCCACTGGAACAAAGTTAAGTCATGGAGCAACGCAGGAATTCAGGAAACCGACGGCCTGGCGTGGAAAAAAGGCTCAATTCATGGATAAAACCAGTGCTGACACCTCCCGAGCCTCTGAGCTCGGCCTGGCTGCAAGGCCAAGGCACCCGACAGATCCCGGGGTTTTTCCCAGAAGGAGGCAGCTGCTTCCTCGGTTACAATGGACAAAAAAAAAAGAAAAAAAAAATTAAAAAATCGCTGCAACAGCTGGAAATTCCAGCCCCGAATGCCACTGGGGTTTGCTTTGCGCATAGTTTCTCTTCCCTGCATCCCAGTAACCCCCAGCTCCCAGCAGCGCTGGCTGCCAGCCCCGGGACGGGCTCCAAGGGCAGGGAGAAGCCGCCACCCCGGGGCGAGGGAGCCGTGCAAAGGTCACCGCGGGGGATTTGTCACCGGCAGAGTCCCCGCGTTGTCGCTCGGGTGCCTCCTGCAGCGGTGAGGGGAGAGGGAGCAGCTGGATGCGGGTATGTGTTCAAGATCCCGCTCCCGCAGAGGGATAAAGGGAATTTTAACGCTGGGAGAGGCAGGAAAAGCTGCATGGCTGGAGTAGGGCCCCTTTTCAGCTCGTTGTTAGCTCCTCTCACACATTCCCGCAATTCCCATCATCCCTGGTGGGGGAAAAGCCCCTTTCCAGCCTGGGAACGGGAATGTCGGAGCAGAACAAGGAGAGCAAGATAAAAATAACCACAAGGATCGGGCAAAGCTCCTTCCTTGGCATGGCTCGTGTCTCTGCGACAGCCCGACCCAACACGGAGCTCGTCATCCAGCGCCTCTGGAGCGCTGGGAATCGTGGAAAAGGGGGAGGGCAGCCAGGCTGTCACCCGGGCGTCGCCGGGGTCCCTTGGGAAGCGCAGCCCTGATGCAAAAACCCCGCTGTTCTCGCCCTTTCCCAGCCCTTTCCCAGCGAGCTGCGGAGCCGGGACTGGGTCCTGCCGCATTCCCGCTGGGATGGCGCTGTGTCCATGTAGGGATCGGTGACACCCGCCAGCGCTCAGCCAGGACACGGCGACAACAGCGCGGGGCTCCTGTGTGCCAGGAGGGTCCCCAGAGTCGCCGGGATCGTCCCATGCTCCCAGGTTCCCCCAGTCCTCGGGATCCTTCCCAAATGCTCATCACGTCCTCTGCTCCCACAATCCCCGGGATCCTTCCCAAAGGCTCATCCTTTCCTCTGCTCCTGGGTCCCCACAGTACCCGGGATCCTTCCCAAAAGCTCATCCCCTCCTCTGCTCCCTGGTCCCCAGAGTACCCGGGATCCTTCCCAAAAGCTCATCCCCTCCTCTGCTCCCTGATCCCCAGAGTCCCCGGGATCCTCCTCAAAGGCTCATCCCTTCCTCTGCTCCTTCCTCCCGTGGGAGCGCGGCCCTGGCCGGGAGCGCCTTCCCGCTGCTCTCTCGGTCTCAGCAATTCCTCCCTCCCTGCGTGTCCCGACCCTTCCCAGCGCCGCTCCCGGCTCGGATCCCGCTGCCACACGCAGTGGGAATGGCTGGGCAGGGACAAAAGCGGGTCCTGGCTGCCAAAGCGCCGCCGGCCCGGACCCCACACACGCCCCGCTCGCCCCCCTCAGCAGCCGCCTCGCCCCGCTCCGCTTCTCCCTCGGGCTGGGAAGCGGCTCCGACGCCTCATTCCCTCCTCCTCCTCTTCCAAGGGCAGGGGAAACCTCCCACGGCTGCGCTTTGATCTCTTCCCGGGCTGGAAGCGCTGATCCCGCATTTCCCGGGGAGCAGGGACACAATTCCCGCACTCTGGCTGTCCCAGGAAGGGGCGCTGCGCTGCCCGGGACGCGGCGCGGGGATGCCCTGGGCGCCACAGGAGGCAGGGCCGGGATCGCGGGATCCCAGAATCCCAGGATCCCAAGGATTACAGGATCCTAG